CAATGAAGACATGTTCGTTAGGCTGCGTCGCCAATGTTATGTATGCAAAACAGAAGGCTAATTGGAAATAGGACGTGTACTGAGTACGATAGACAGCACAAGTGAGGAGGCTTGTAAAAACGGTCGGGTATATGGCAAGGGGACTGTCCTAGGCTGATGGGTGGCCAATCAGCACAAAGACGGTGTGAACAGGGGGCCATGACCTTGATCGTTCGCTTGTCACGCGTTTGTGGCATAATGTCCTGACGGCCTGGGCAGGATACGCTGCATGGAGGAGGGGGAGATGTGAAAGAATGTAGAATGACTGGGGGTGTGGACACAGCACCGAATACCCTCATCCGGTTTAGCCCGCCGATCGAGGCGGTTACCGGGGTGTGCAGGCTGTGTTGCTTATGAGAGAAAGGGAGAGAGGAAAATGTTTAAGCCTCTATAGTCATTGTTCGGTTAGGACTGTCCTTTTTACCCGAAACTTTTAATTTGCAACCACAAGGGATCTGCGAGGGCATGCTCCCAATGGTTTTGCAGTGTGCTTAGTTCTTAGTTTCATCGCAGTCTGTTAGCCACAGGTTTGCACACACTCCGCAGTTGCTTGTATTCCTACCAGCTTTCGGAACTTTATGTTAGTTAAAAACACCTCCATATCTTATTTCTTCTCTGAAAGGCGTTTTGAAGTTCCAGTTTATTTACGCCGGACGATTGTTTGTTTTCCTTCGTCGGAATGAACGGTTTAGACCAATGATTCCCTTAACTAACAGACTCAACGTTCTTCGGTTTTCGCTGACTGTTTCCCACGGTGTGGTTGTCTACGGTATTGCTGAGACATGCGTTCGCATGCCGGAAAAATCACCTTTCCAGATATTGTTTTCCAGGCTTGGAGAACATAGAATACTTAAAGCGCGTTACAATGTAATCCCTAGCACCCATTGGTGGGAGATCACTTAGATCCCGTGTACTCGCTTCATCTCGGTGAGCACCAAGTCAAGGAGACTTGAACGTTGTTCTTCCCCAAAATGCCTTCAGAGAGTTATTTTCTGGTAAAGTGTTTTTTCTTGCTCATTTCGAGCAAATGATATCTCAGGGTGGGGTTTCATATGGCCAATAAAATAAGCTGAGACTATGTCATAGGAATGATGTTTATTTTGTAAACTTCATAATTAAACATGCGGATACTCGACTACGCGATTAACTTTCGGCAACCGCAAAGTAAAACAACTGCAGTAGTAATAGTTTTATTTTCGAGCTCACTGAAGGCACTATCCACACGTTTAAAACCGAAATTAATCATTCTAGCAGGCAGAAAACCTAACGAAGAAAAGATTTTTCACAAAACAGACTCCAAAGATGAGCCAGATAGTGCTTCTACAAGACCGCATTTATGGTCATAATAGCTCATAGCCTGCGTCGATTATGCCGTGCTGAATGCCCCCAGCCTTTTCTCTTCTCGGTACACATTCGCGGCAAGTTCTAGACAAAGGCACACTTCACATTACCTTCCGTCTTAGACTTGAATACAAGCCGAATAAGGTAACAGAACAGATCACGGATGCAGTGCAGACATTGGAGAGTGAAGCAGATTGTCCGTTAGCCCTCCCAGCTGTCAGAAATCCCGGGCGAATAGAAATATCGTGACGCACCTAAATTCGTGACAGTTGGTGCGGTAAATTGCTTCCCATTGTTGGGCATAGTTCAGTCCTCAGTAGGTTCTTGTATGTTTAGTATCCACGAGATACATTACTTATGCAAAATGTCACTCCGTTCGACAATGGTTCACCTCACACCTGCCATTTGGTCCACTGGCGTCTCCAAGAGACTTGACTAGGATAAATCACATGTGTTTAGGAGCGCCAATTCGTTCCTCAATGTACTTACTTCTATTGCTATAGATCACTTTTCTTTGGCTGTTATTAATTTTGAGCTTAGTAAAGCCTTTAATAACCCTGCCAGCACATGGCCCCTTTCACCGTTGACCCCACCAAAGTGCAGATTTCATCCATGGATAAAGTGCTGAAACGTCTTGAGGGAAAGAAACAACTACCAGGAGAAATTGCGAAATCCCTAAAACAAACGGAACCAAAAATCGCCAAAATCTATGGACTACCGAAAGTTCACAAAGCCGACGTATTATTTCGACCAAAAGTGTCATTACTCAGTGCACCGAAATATAAGATTTCTAAATGGCTATTCGTAAACTCCGCCCCTTAACAACCCTGCCAGCACATGGCCCCTTCATAGGCGGGGCTGGAAGGGGCTGGGTGGGGCCAGAGCATCTCTGCATTGAAGCATTTTTAAGCGTATTTGCATCGAAAGATATGTTTCAAAAGCACAAATTATTGTACCTTCTTTGCAATTAAAAGGAGCCAATTTATCAAAATTGGCTTATAAATCATGGAGAAGCCCACTTAATGTAGCTGCGGATGAGCACAATATATTGAGGTTTTGTTTAAGTCCCTCATTGCGTAAACTCTTATTTGTCCACCGGTTTACAATCTGTGTGTGTTATTAATTCGTATATTTGACAATCGGTTGCAGATAATATCGTGAGTCAACCAATGCTGCTTTCATGCTCTTGATATCTATCTTAGTTAATTTATGTATATTATGCGAATTGTTTGGGTATCTAGTCACCATCCAGTTCAAGTAGTGGACTTGTATGTCTATGTATGTACTATTTAGCCTTGGTGTTCGTAGTCCACTTATACAAATTGTTTATCGTTTCTTACTGAATAGCCAAAGCAATTATGAAGCGTAATCACTCTGGCTATCACCGAAGCACCATATGCAGGCGCATTAAGCGCCAGATGAAGGCATATTATGAGGCCACTGAAGAGCCTGAGCCTGAGGTTCTATCAACGTCGACGGCAGTTGGCAATCAATCCCCCGAACGAGAAATGCCTATACTGAACTCTGAGATTTCCGCTGGTAGGTATTATGAGCGTGTTAACGAATAATGGGTGTAGAGTCCGTGGAAGACATGGCCGACACAAACGCAGTTGGAGGCAAGTCCTTTCTGGAGGCCTTGAAAGAATACGCCCTGGAAGTGCAAATGCCTATGTCTAATACAAAGAAGTTATTTGATATGTTATGGCATTTCCATCCGGAAGTACCTAAGGACCCACGGACGCTATTGCGAACGCCTCGAGCGTGCAATAAGAAGCGTCTGAGTAACGGCACCTACGTTCACTTGGGTCTCACAGACGGTTTGCTTCATGAGCTTCGTCTTCGTTCGAGAACCAATATTTCCGACATACGCATTCAAGTGCACATCGACGGAATGAAAGTTTTTAATGGGTCCAACCAGTGCCTGTGGCCAATACTAAGTCGTATTAGCCATCCGGTAGTTGGACAACCCTTTGTTGTCCGCGTTTTTTCCGGATCTAGTAAGCCAGAGTCCCTGGACGACTTCTTACATGACTGTATAATGGAACTGAAGGGATTACTTGCTACTGGCCTGTGCTTGCCGTCGACAGGAAAGGTTATAAGGGTAGCCCTAGAGAATGTCATCTGTGATACGCCCGCTCGATCTTACATCAGGCAAGTGAAAGCGCATAATGGCTATTACGGATGCGACAGGTATGTTGTTTCGCACAAATAACGGCAGTCACGGTAGGTGCTGTCATGTTGGGCGCCCCGTTGCCAACCGCATGACATTCCCCACGTACACTGGCCGGTTGCGAGACGACAGGTCATTTCGATTGCGAACCCAGGCACTGCACCACAAGCGCAGGTCGCCTTTTGAGGATTTACCAATCGACATGGTAGCCTCATTTCCAATCGACTACATGCACCTAGTCTGTCTGGGTGTGATGCCGAAGTTGATTCATTTGTGGCGACTGGGGCCAAGGTTATCTGCCCGACTTAATGCCTCCATCGAGAGATGCAGTCGGTGTCTGCCGGCGGAGTTTTCTCGCATGTGCAGATCTCTTGACTCTCTCGAATATTGGAAGGCTGCCGAATACCGGCAGTTCTTACTGTACATAGGCCTTACCGTTTTATCCCCCGTTCTTGATATCACCCGTTATAACCACTTTTTTTTATTGAGCGTTGCCATTTACATATTTTGCCATCCAACTTTACATACATCCTGGATTGACTTTGCCCGTCTCATGTTAAACAATTTTGTTACTGATTTTCCCCAATTGTACAGTCCAGCAGACATTGTATATAACGTACATTGCCTCCTTCACCTCCATGAAGACGTAAGCCGCTTTGGAGTGTTGGATAGGTTTTCTGCGTTCCCCTTCGAGTCCTTTTTGCAAACAGTTCGCAACACCATAAAGGGGCCGACAAACGTAGCCGTCCAGGTGTACACGGCCTTTTCACTTGCCCCGCAGTTCCGGTGCCGTTTTACACGATGGATACGTCTTGTCGACTACAGGCCGTGTGTATTGACGTCTGTTTCGGCTGACAGAATTGGGTATCGCCCTTTTTTGGATTGCAGGGACCTATTTACCACATCTTTTTCGTCTTCCACGTTGTTCATGTTTAAAGCATCGGTTTTAGAAAACATTCCCTCAATGGCTACCCTTGCGGACATTGCCTGTAAATTTGTTGCCTTCCAAACTGACGACGATTTCTACCTTTTACACACATTTACTGCACAGTGATTTTTTTCATTTATCTTTTCCAAACCCTGACGCTAAATGACTAGTAAAATGCAAGTGTAAGATGTACTCCGTTGTTGAGTTCATCAATGACAAGTCGGTCGACGTCGTAGCCAAGGCGTGGTTCTATGATAAGAACTGCGTTATGTGGCTGAAAAATGACAGACGACGAAACATTCTTCTCAAAAGGAATGAGCCGCCGCCGAGTGGGACAAAAGTATATCCTGTCAGGATTTTAAAAGACAACCTGACTCTGGATGCGGCCCGGCGACTGGTACATAGGGCCGTGGACACGTCGGACCTCTCCTTTTCGGAGCCCACGGAGTTGGGTCGAGGCTTTAGAAAGAAGTAGGTTTCACTTGTAATTGAAATTTTTTGTAGATTTGTCCGCAGATTAACCTCTGATTCGGAGGATGATGAGGACGAGAACATAGCGGAACGACAGCCTGTAAGGCCGCTAGCTGGCTGGCCGTCGCCACCACCCATACTTCAGTAAATTGCAGTAAGTCTGATGGTTTGTAGGCCAAGACTTGAAGAAAACATACCTACTTCCTCGGCCGGATGGGGCAGGTTTTCACCTTCAGTAGTCCCCTCACTTCAGTAAGCACGTTATATTTATTATCCATTTCAGACTGCAAACGGAAAAGGATGCTTCTGTGGCGCAGAGTGAAATATTAAAATCAATACAAAGGAAATTGAAATCTGTGCGGTAAGGACATGTTGTATACCGTTGGATTAGATTTGTTTAGTAAAACATTAGACAAATTAGTCCATAATCAGAGGGTCCATCATGAGGAATTTCGACAACATTGCGCCCTCATGGTTGAAAAACTTGGGTAAATACATACCTCCACCGTCCTTGTCGGTCAAAGGCCTCCCTCACTGCCCTTGCCGCTATGCACGAAGGACGCCTACGAAGACTTTGAAGGGAAGCTAAACCGTGATGCCGATTTTCGGGAAGAAGTGGTATGTAAATATGCAGCTTTATTTACTCTCCATGAGTTATAGATGAAACAACTTGTTTCAGTTGGCGGGCGTAACAACAAAGAGTTTGTTAGGAATATCCTCAGTAAATTGCTAGGACCACCCCTTTGCTGTGACTACTGTTGGAGTGGCTCAGTGGGAAAACAATCCTTTGTCGGTAGTCCATTATATGCACTCCTATGTGGTAAGTTTTCCTCATTTGTTAACACTTCAGATGCCATTCTCTTGAACCCTATCTTTGGTGATTGCGGCCACGAAATGGTTCGCAAGACTGTCATTGATTGGTTTCATGGATCGAGGGACCGGTATGGCGGCCGGGCTAAACGCCGGGAGGCAATTGGAGGGACTAGCGATGATACACGTTGCCCCACACTGCCTCCATCTGAAGAGACGGTAATTACCATTATATGAAATTTACATATTTACGGTTAAATATTCATGCTGCTACAGTGAACTTAATTAGTGTGAAAATTGTCTTTTAAATTTTAAAGTATTACTTCCCTTCCGTCGACCATGTGTCTTCCAAACAATTGTTTTTCTTCAATTATAGGAACCAGCCGTCGATGCGGGGACTTCCGGAACGCCCAACTGAATGGCATAACATATGTTTAAGTCCATGTATATACTGGCACTGACATTTATTATGATTGTACATATTTTCCAATTCCTTTTTCGTCTATACAATAAATAACTCACTCACATGAATTTGCGTCGCGTGTATTTGATATTGGCTGCTGATTAGTGGGTAAATGTATGGCGGGGTCACTGTGAGTACTATGTAATACCGTAGTACTCTACGTACGCAGGGTGGGTTTTGACGTGTAACATGTGGGAACAGTGAGGCACTGCTCCTCAGGGGACTCGCCATACGGGACGATATTTTAAAGTGGTGCCAAAAGTGGGCTGAGATGTGGCGTCCCCTGCGCATTTTTTTTCGGGGCCAGGCGGGGTTATCGCGTTGCATGCCCTGCCATAGCCCCCTCCACAGCCCCTCATAGCCCCCTCATGGCCCCCTCTAACCCCGCCATTATTGAGGGGGCCAGACGGGGCTAGGCGGGGCTGGTGCTGGTAGGGAAAGTGCCACATGAAAGACTCCGAGTTAAGGCAAGAGAATACCACACTAGCAGCACAGGCACTAACTAAAAGCCCATACACGCGCGTTCCGCCGATATTCTGCCGCTGCATGGCACAGCTGCGAGGGGTTAGGCTCATCAGTGGGTTCCTCAGCACCCCCACCCCCTCTGTTTTCTGGCAGATACTCCAATTTAAAATTGTTGTTTTTTAAGTCCTTCAGCAATGAACTATGATCAGTAGGGTCACCATCAAGCCCAAAGGATTAGGCTATCCAAATAATTTATATTTTTTGCCACACGCCGACAGAATTACGGCCAAAGCTACCCACATTTGTGCTTTTATTTCTTATAATTTCTATCTACCCGAAATCAAACTAAAACTTTATCGAATGTTTATTCTCACTATTCTTAAATATTCTTGCTTAAGTAATATGTCCTCAGGCTCTGATTTGAATGACAGTTGTTTGGACGCAGATGAAGGACGCACACTTCCGCACGTTGAAATCTAGAAGCCATTTCTCGGACCACGCTTACGGTCGGGGCAAATGGTTTTAAAGGGCTCTCTGGTCATTTGGACTCCTAATGTCTTTTCAGAGTTTAACGTCGTCGGCAAACAGTACTTTACCGTAGTCGAGTTCCTGAAGGCTGTCATTAACATAATGGATGAAGAGCAAGGGTCCCAGAACTGACCCTTGAGGCACACCACTAATCACATTAACCCAGTCTGACATATAATCCCCGATACAGACACTCTGTTTCCGACCAACCAGAAATGTCCTTATCCAGTTCAGAATATCGCCCCGGGTGCCGATGGCGCTCTTCATAAAAAATCTGTTCCGATTATAAGCGTGATCCGAGAAATGGCTTCTAGATTTTAATGTGCAGAAGTATGGCATCCTTTATCTGCGTCCAACCAACTGTCATTCAACTGAGAGCCGGAGGACATATCACCTGAAGGACACTACTCTTCCCACAGAATCTTCGCAGAAGGATCTCAATTTTTGAATACAGAGCAACATGAAACCAACACTTTACTGCAACAAGGCTGAAAAACGCATTGAAGTGCTTCATGCAATCAAAAGGGCATTCGTAACCTTTGGGAAAGATCTCTTTGGGAGAGTTTACGGCACCTTTTTGGCCCTATTTAGAAAATAGCTACAAGTGTGGCGGTCATGACTAGTAAAGGACCAAACATGCCTCGAAAGAGTACAACGTTGTGCAACAAAACTGGTTAGGGGTTTAAAAACCAATCCTTCATAAAAAGAGTAAGGTGTCTTAATTTATTCCCTTTGTGTTACAGGCGACAAAGAGGCGATCTTATCCTGGTTTACAAGATAATACACGGCCTTGAGCATTGAATTAGCTTCAAGGACATGCTTCGGTGGTTCCTTTCATCTAATCTTCGTGGTTACTATATGAAACTGCGTACAAAAATGTCTGGGTTAAATGTTCGTTCTGAATTTTTCAAGCAAAGAGTAGTTGAGGCGACGTCCCTGCAACTATTCAAGAAACGCTTGGATGCTTATTTGTGTGCCCTGTTTTCTCTTGACAATGTGAGCCCGAGTTAAATATCCTGTGACCCCGGGGAATTTTTTTCCTTTGAAACAATGCTGCTCAAATGAATCGAGTAGTGCTTTAATAACGAAGATTTTAGTCGTTCGAGTGCTGTTGTATCTAACGCGCTGGCATGTCCTCAATAGGGTTTTTAAGGGCCTTGCCTTTTACCCTTACCAAATAAACTGGATGAGCTAAATTAACAAGATTAATCTTTTTAAATTGAAAATGTCCAAAGACAATTTTACTAGAAAACTCTTTAGTACGACACCCAAATATTTCCCACTCAGATATATGCCAGCTAATCAACTTAAATTTATATGGGTTCGAAGACTATAAGCAGGCTTTTATCTCGTTTTTCACATTAATAGTAACTTAGATATACCTCAGATTTCAGCTCTTACCCCCTGTTAGTCGCCAATACAATATTCGCAATTCTTCCTTGATTTACATCCTCCCGCTTCCTCCACCTCCAAGCGCTCCATTTTCTTCGCATACAGGCTTACTTTTCTTTGCAATAGTCTTCCAAGCGATATAAGATCATCAGATACCCCACACCCTTTTAAGAGAAAGCTGCGCCTTTATCTGATTACCGACTCGGCTAAACTTTTATTTTCGTCGCCCTCCCCAGGCAACTTTCTCTATGACATTGAGAAAGGACCATCGGAAATTTGGGGCTACGCCACCGAATTTCTGTAACTATCCATATTTCTCCCTGTGTGTAGCTTCGCTTTATATGATCTCTCATCAGAAATTTCGATTTTTGGACTTTTCAGTCCACATATCGTGTCCTTCACGGGACGCTATGTCCTTCGCGACCAACCTCTCAAAGAAATAGTAGGATCATGTAGACGTACACGCCTAGGGCCGACCCCGTTTTGTTTGATGCAGAGTACCATCAGGAATCCGTTCTGGCTTCTGAGATTTCGAACACCGGCCCTCAATGCGAGTCCGACCTGGGTCTGCCGCCACCTAAAATCCCGTGCAGTCCTCCTATCACCATGAGAAATTTACTCTGTTTTTACTATATCCCTTCGAAAACAATGATTTTCGCGGAATTTAAGATCACCCTTCCAGTTCGATCCCCCAACGGTCTGCTGATTATCACGGGGACTGCTCTATTTTTCGCCATCTGCTAGTAGGTTAATTCGTCTGCAAAGAGTTTTCATGGTCGAGTCTGCTCGAGCTATGATAACCTTGCAGCCTCAGACATTTCCTCCTGACCCAGATTCTAAGCAGACCGTGAGGGATCGCTCTGAGTCCTTCCTGTCTTGTCATCTTGACGGTCGCATCTGCTGTCAACCAAAAATATTAAGATCGCGTCCGTAGCGAAGAGCCTCACCCGGCTTGGGAAGTTGGTCTTTGCGAGAACTGCTTTGAATCCTTATTAGCTCCTACTTGAGGGACAATCCCGTCGGACTTGGATATTTACCTTCCCACTAGCGAAGGCTTTTTTATTTGTAAAAACTAATTAAACGACATTGATCTTGCATCTTCCAAAAAACGAAAGGTTTTCTCACTGTTCGCCAAGAGCGTTTCATGCCAAACTACCTGTTTTATAAGCATAAACTGAACGCTGGATGGTGTCTGTCTACTTGTTCTAAAATTCACATGAAAATTTGCTTTTGTTTGCTATGACAGTACCGTAAGGGGTACTAAATAAGACAATTCATTTATTGGACTGATTTAAACTAGTGGTAATTCCCATCGCGCAATTCAGAATAATCTCTGGCGAGTATACGCGTGCTTTCCATAATTCCTCATCGGGCCTATAAATTTATTTGGTAACGAGGTAAAAACTGGAACGTATGCCTCCTCTCCACCACCTTCCCCTCTATTCACATACCACTTTTGTATGAAAAGACGAACCGTCATCGATTGCTCTTATCGCTCACACGTTCCATTTTGTACCTCGTTCCAATATAAATGTACAGGCTGATGAGAATTTATTGAAAGCACGCGTTTGCCTACCAAATGCTCTTCTGAATTTATTTATTAAATTGACACAACGGATGCATAAAATGCATTTCAAACTAATCGAAGAACTAAAGGTCGTTTGTTGATAAAGTGCTAGATTACGGGTTAACACATTCATACTTAGGGCTACGGCCAATTTAAAAGAACTGTTGCTCAACGGGGCCATCGCTGAGCTCTCATTTATGACAGTTCGACTACCGTGACTCCACAGCAAGGTGAAGCAGGCACGGTGACTTGTGCGTGAGTTAGTTTATAGTGGTAGTAGACTTTCACTCTCTCCTCCTACACCCAACCCGGACCCGACGTTAAGATATAGTCAAGAAGACCGGAGGCAGGGGAGGGCGGAGGTGGATGGCACTGCCGAGCCCACGCCTAGGCGGACCGTCACACCTGGCTCGGATCCCACGAAGTGGGAGTGCCATAAAGGCCACATTAAGAAGGAGCCTTCGCAGCCTGACTCTTAGATCACCAGTCATCCGCCTCACACAAACACACAAATCTAGGCCGACTATGAGGCCCAAGTTATCTCGTCAGTTGGCAACCTTCCAAGCCACGACTTTTAGAGCACCGTGATAGCTTCAAGCACGTCAGATTATTTATAGCGAGGAAAATGTGCTGAGCCGTTGATCTCACTCTCCCTTCCCATTACACGCCCCTGTCAGTGTCCGAGCCAGTCACTTGACTGGCGTAAGGGAATGTGTGCGGTGGCTGACAAATCTAGTGACCTTGTCTGCGCACGTCATATGCACGACCTGGCCCCCAAACACGAGCACCAGGATTTCACTCAACGAGGATTGAGCAGCGTACATCTCATGCGTGAGTGTCGTAGGTCACGCTAGGAAGGAGCCGCGTCAGCCTGGCTTTCTGCCCACTAGTCCACACACTCACACAGCTGGGTAGACAAGTGGACTGAGTTATGGTGTCAGTCAGCACCTTTCCAAGTCACAGAGCTTGGCGCGCCGTGATAACCTCAGACTCGAATCACACGTGCTGTAAGATGCAGCATGGAGACGAAGTCGAGACTCACACATCCCAGTGGGGGTGGAGGGGACAAATGGATGCCTGTGGGGGATAATGACGCGGGATGAAAGTGGAGGATGATTTGACGGTGTGGTTTGGCCGACGGGTGTCTGTCGCAGGTTTTCGTGGACGCGCATGTGGCCTAATAGGCCCACGCACTGGGTGAATGTGCGGGTGCAGTGAAGGCAGTTGAGGCGAATGCGGCGAGTGTGCGTGGGTGCTCCACGTACTCATTCGCCAGTCTCCGTGCGATGGATTCGCAGGTTGCCGACCAGACCGATGCGTGAGGTGACTTCGCGGTGACAGTGTTTACAGGAAAAGTCGGCGGCGTCAGTGTCGGTTTCAGAGACTGTGGCAGTGGTGGAGCTGCTAATGGTGGACACGCTGGACGACGGGGTGTGGGTTGAGCTAGGCATGGTGGAAGCACAAGATCTGCTCAGTGTGGTGAAGCTGATGGTGGTGGATGTGCTCGGTGGCGTATGTAGGTTGAGTTAGGCATGAGGGATGTTCAGGAGGTGCTAGGTGTGCCGAGATTGTGGTTAATTCCGCTCTCGTGGATACACATGCGGCCGAATAAGGCCATGCGGTGAGTAAATGTGTGGTGGGCAGTGTGGACAGTGGAGGTGAATGCGTCGAGTGTAGTTTGGTGGTCCAGGCACTGGTTCGTCAGTCTCTATGCGATGGATTCGCAAGTGACCGACCAGGTCGATGTGTGAAGTGGAGGTGCGGTCGAAACGAGGATAGGTATGGATTGAGTCCACATCGCTGGGGTTGGTGGTGCGGGGGGGGGCCGATGTTTGTTGGTATGTCAGGGTTGTGTGCAGTGGTGGTGAATGCAGGAGGCCCCGTGGCGCATGTTAACGCAATGGAGGAGGAGCACAGTAGTGGGGGTGAAAGAGTGCAGTCAGTGTTGTCGGCGTGGAGGATGAGGCAGAGTTGGGCGAAAGAATAGCAGATGGTGTAGTCCGGGCGCTGCAATTGGTACAAAAAAGTCCCACAAGGTCGATTGGAGCCCGGACCGGCTGCTGGCAGCGTCGGCAGGTCGAGAGTGGTTGAGTGTTGACGTTGCGAGATAGGCGCAGTTGGGATTTGCGAGCCTTATGTTTGGCTCTGGCGGCGGTAATGCGGTTCGCTTCAGGGACTGCTGCGCCTGTCTTCACTGTCCGCCTTCAGGTCGGTTGGTCTCGGGCAAGACCTACCCTGTTGGTCGGATTGATCTACAGGTGCTTCAATGAAGTCTTCAGAGTGTCGTCCTAACGCTTGCCCTGACGTCCTTGTCGACGAGTACCCATGTCGATATCTCCATATTAGAGTCACCTGGGTATCTGCTCGTCGTCCCTCCGCATGAGGCGCACGCTCCAACGCAATTGCAGTTTTCTCAGCATGGGATGGATGCTGATGATTGCCGTCTCTTCCAGTACATCCGTGTCCGGAATCCGGTCTTGCCACCTCAGCTTTAGTATCCATCAAAGACAGCTGAGGTGGAGGTGGTTGAGTCCTAGGGTCTGCTTCTTGAACACCGTCCATACAACAGCGTCAGGAAGATGACCACCTTGTACGTCTTCAGTTTATTGCTGAGGTGGAGGTCGTGGCGGTTCCAGACGGTGTTTTGAAGACGCACGAAGGCTTGGCTGGCTTTGGAGATCCGGCGGGCCACTCAATGGTCGATCTTGCTAGAGCGGACGAAGGTGCTCCCCAGGTATGTGAAGTTGCCTACAACATACAACTAAGCGCCGTTCACGTTGATTTGGGCTGCAAAGTAGGCAACGTCGGGTGGCGGTTGGTGCATAACCACCGTTTTCGCCTTGTTGATGAACAAACTGATGTCGTAGATGGCGACGAAGAGGTTCATGCACTTTTTCATGTCCCATTCCGAGGTGACGTTGAGAGCACAGCCGTCGGGGAAGGGAAGTTCGTGAACGTAGTTGTGAATACACGTGAATGAAGATGCATCCGCCGGCGGTTGAGGAGTTGGCCGTCCGTCCTGTAGGTTATACGGATCTCAAGACGTTGGTCACGGGAGGCATCTATCAGCATCGCAGAGAATATGAGACAGAAGAGTGTAGGCGCTCTCATTTAGATGACTTCCTACGATTTTAAGTCGATATTGATTCCAATAAAGGTGAGCTTCAATAAAGGACGGTCCGCGTAGCAGCAACGCTTGTACGCACTCGTGGACATCGTGACCTAATACTACTATCGTAACACATTCACTATGTGGGAAGGAAATTAGCTTGATACATCCCAAATACGCTTTAACACTGGTATCTTCTTAGGCATGGCCTTAAGTCGTCTCCGAGGCAGAGACGGGGGTCTCGTTAAGCTGTCGACGTATATCCGTATAAACCGAAAGATTCTTTTTCAAAACTTTTCATCATTTAAATGAATCGTTCGTTTAAGCGAACGTGATTAATTAATCACCTTGTTGGCTACCGCTTAGCATTTTTCTTATCACCTTCTCTTCTGCTTCATCTCCTTCATTTTTTTTAGTTGCGAGTAGTCAAAATGGCCAAGTAGTTTCTGTGACCGTTTTCGCCGTTTATTTAAAACTGCCCCCGATTGTTTGTAAAACGCCCCTGAAGTCAGCTTTGGTTTCATGAACAGCCACATATTTGTGATGCAACAACAATTTCTTTCGACTCCTTGGATAACAAGATCTTACTTGCTTAGGTCTTTGAAACAGAAGATTTTTGAAATTCCGGAAAGCATTAGATGCGCATTAACTTGTCTTACTTTGAGCCTTAAACCTCTTTTGTATTCGACCCGTGTCGGGTACTGCAATTCTTAAAACGGCTTTGTTTTTCTGCTGATTGCAGAAAGTTTTACAGTCACAAGAATGTAAATAGGCCACTCAAAGGCACACACATTTCGCACAACAAACCGAGCCGAACTGGACTGAAGTATTTGAAGTCTAATCAAAAGTGACTTACACGTACACCGTTGATTGGATAAAAGTCTGAGGCTTTGATTACCCTAGAATCTCATGGGGTCTCTGGGCAAAGTTCTGGACTTTGCCATTTCATTATCTCCTCTTCGGGAAAAATTACGTATGTGATTAGTGTTTCAGACTTCGACAGACTTTTATAGATCGACACTCTCCCTCAATATGTTAGACTGCTTGAACAATCGATCTTCAGCTCTCCCCCGTACCTCATCTAGGTAAATGTTTGCGATTCATTATTGCGTTGAAGGATTCTTTCAAAAAGACGATGCGACCCGGCTGCACTGCGAACCACAGCACCTATCAACTCGTCTTGGAGTCAGGAATGTCCGAAGGTATCCTTATTTGTTTGCTGAACGTTTTTAGAAAATCGGCAATGGCGGTGCCCAACAACACCTGCCGGATAATTGCTTCGGACTTTGCAGGGATCATGATTTGGCGCTTAGCGTTATTGAAGCTCTTGGTGACTCTTTTTCGAGAGTACCCAAGTCCTTTCCAGGATCTTCGTCCAGTTCATTCTCTTCAAACTCCTGTGCTCTCTCAGTTACTTCATCCTCATCTAACGATTGTCCAACATCGACTAACATATGCAAATGGGACGGCTGTGACAACTGTCATGACGTTGCTTCTTCAGGATTACTTTCCCACATCCAGACTTCTCATGTCTATCCCCAGTTATCATCCAGAAGAACCCAGTTTACTTGCCTGTGGCGTGGATGCAAGGTTTATGGGCAACCCAGTGTTTCCTCAAACTGGCTCTCCCGACACGTTCTTAGGCACTCAGAAGCAAGAGGGAAGCCATTTCAGTGCATTTTTGAACGCTGTTCCCTACGATTTTCTTCCACTGCCCTGTTAGAACGACATATAGCGCGTGACCACTCTCAAGAAAGTGGCACAACCGGCTCCTCTAAATCATTGGATTTAACGTCTAAGCCATCAGACTCTCAGCAGTCGGTCTGCTCATCGCGCGTCATTAATAAGCCTGTTGCGACTGTGAAAAGCTGCTCCCGGAAAACTTTACGGAAGCGCCGAAAGTTTCGTTGCTATCGGGGTGAGTTGCATGCATGTAGCATGGTCATCTTGCAAATTTCTAAATGGCTCTTTCACCTTGTATTTCTCGACCTCGATATGACTTTATTCTCACCAAGTTAAGCGCAGTATCCAGCTTTTACCCAATTGCTTTAATTATGCTTTAGAGTCGCTCCCGAGATCTCATTAACTCCTTTTTCGCAACAACAGCTGTTTTATAGGTAATAAGAAACAGCTTCAGATTGATTCTTTTTTGACCAATATCTTTGTTGCCATTTGATTCTACATCCTCCAGTATTCCTGTTAGCATGTTTGGTAGTTTGTTTTTGTCTTGATTCATAATTGCTTAGCCAAAAGACCAAATTACCGTCTTCATTTTAAATTTCTTATCGGCCGAATTCTAATGCCTAACGCCACGAGAGATCCGTGCGCTGATCCAACAATAAAAGGCCGTAATGATGAGGGTTCGCTCTATTAAATTCCGGGTTGTTCCACTATATCGCTTCCTCTAGTTTGACTCGTTTTGGTGCTCTGACTTCGGAGCTTAAACACTAGTCATGTCGCTTTTGACAAGCTTATCCTACACACAGCTTATATGATTGGGGATTTCAAAAGTCTAGGTGCATACTCATACCAACATTCGGGTTGAATTCCGCCCTAGTCTCCTGTCCAACTTTCTTCACGCATTCCGTTGTTACATGAGCCTATCCAGTCTTACACGACAAGAATAACCGGAATGTCGACTTCCATTCACACAACAGTCATGCGATTGTTTTCAAGGGCTCACACGAACCATTGATGCGCGATAAAGAGAGGAAGAGACCGATCTAGCTCGAGTCCGACATCTACTTTCGTTACTACTGACAGTGAAAATCACCTCGCTAATAGCCGGGACTTTGGAGGCAACCAAATTTAGTAACAAATAAGTCCGTCTATGGACCAAATGTTAGTTTGCAATAGCTCCTTCTTACTGCGACTCTTGTAGCACTCTCACTTATATCGGCTACAACCCTCCCCTCCATTGAAGGTTGGCACATGTGCAGTTAGGGGTCGGCACGTATGTAGTGCGTGCAAACAGCACACGCCCTCATTATCAATCGTCTTGATTTTGTCTGGCCATTAGTTTAACAATAAATTCACTCATCCCAGTCACCGCTGAGATCACTCAGGACCTATGCTGGTTCCCCTCGCTAACGACGGGCCAATTTTTTTAACTAGCGATAGCCCCAACAAGTGAAATCCAATACTGGGTCTTCTTTTTTCTCGTCCTTTGAGGTCGATTAGGTAAACAGGACGCGGACATTTTTGGCATGCGAAAAATACGCTACTTTGAGAATGATGGAGTTCGAATAGTAATGAGGAACGAATTTCGCGAAAAAACGTCTGCCATATGTGATTAAGGCAATCCGAAAGTTTCCCACTAATCTCATCTATGAACACATTTTTGCTTTCAATACTACAAGTGCATTTCCACACGGGCGAACTGAAGACGCAAACTAACGACACTTTCGGACATATTACCCCTACCAACTGTAAATTATTTAGTTTAAAATGCCACGACTTGAACTGTGCTGTTACATTTTAAAAAGCGTCTGCTCCCGACAAGCCTTCAGCCGTGAATACAGTAGCCAACCAAGCGTCAGGCTTAGGGGGTATGGAAAATAAATGTTTACTTTTGTAAATCCACAGGATGACACTCGTAGCATGGTAGGGCAAGTGCGACAAATTTTGTTAAAAAGGTAAATAATGACCGAACAAAGACGTCTATTCCCCTGTCGTTTTTGGAGACCGGGAAAAAGGTAGCACTGCGAAAGTTTACCGACAAAATTTCTTGCTCATGCCACCCACGCGGCATTCTTACATATCATTTGAGGCTGCCGGCGATGGTTTTCCACACGTGTCAGACCTGATCTTTGTGTGACAGGAACGTACGGTCTGAACGAGACAGTTTCTCGTTCGTGTCGAATATGTACGAGTATAAGGAGGCCGAGAATATGTGCAAGTGTGCGATTCTATCCTACAATGGCCCACGTGGGAGTTGCGCTGTACCAACACGGGGACCAGATCAGGACGCCGCAGGGTGTTACTGGGAACGCACACCCATGACAAATGCAACACGCGCGGCTGTGGTAGCCCACATGGACGCATGTCCACGCGGCGCCAGCCACCTGCGACTGATTCCGCCCGCAGTCCTCTTGACTATGCCTTGACATCGGGATCAGGTGGGTGAGGGAAGGGAGAGTACGGTTGATGCAGCGCAAGTACATTGTCGCCGTTCTTGTGCCTACTCCGCTGTGGGGCACACGGTCGCACCGTCAGGTTGTACGGGCACGTACAGGCGTCACGCGAATAATGAGTGTGGCTTCAGTGAGCCATCTTCGTGTACGCGCAGACTACCTAGTAGGCATTCATCTGCCTCTTGTGCTTCGCTCCCCAGCTCCACGACCTCTTTATTGCTTCAGTTCTGCTCCGAGTGTCATGATGATTAATAACCTGAACCAGCATGACCTTACGTCGGAACTTCACTTAGTGATTAGGACTCAAAATGCTTTCGAAGATATCTCACATGTTCTCGTTTACAGGCAATATTTGATTTGCGCTGGCATTAGATCATGGCCACCAAACACAGCACGTCGTGTCGCCACAAACTGTTTCCGACCCCTTGCGTTCAAAAACTTGGGCTACGGGTGCACACCACATCATCTAGAAGTACGAATAAGTGATACTTTAAACCTTAATCTTTCGTACCCCGTTTCAGATTTTCGTAATTGGGTATAATTGTACACTTGTTCGGGACGTAGTCCTCTTCAAAGCTATTTTTTTCTAACAAAGCCTATCTCATGCTTTTTTAAATGTTATGTGTCCCATTTTTAGTTCGTCGAACCGATTTCTACGATACTCGCTCAAAGGCAATCATCAGAAATAGGTTGATTCTCGATCGCATTCTCAGAGAAGTTAGTCTTCTGCCTACACAATCTCCACCACCGTCGGATGTTCCTTGTCGGGGTTTTGGCCTGCTTACTACCGATCGTAGCAGAGATCCAGAACCAGAAAGCGAGAACAGCGATGACGATGGTAGGAAACTCTGTGCCAACCTCGCTCTCCCATTCCCAATAAGCTGCAAGTCCACAGTAGCCACATCCTCTCGAGCGACCACCTCAACGCGTTGTCTCCGTTCGGGCGGTCCTGCTGCACCCAGTCTTTCCAAACCCAGCTCCTCGTCCCAAGCCCCTGAGCCTTCTGCGCAACCCAGCAAACCTGATGGATCGCATGTTAAGCTCCTTCTGACTGTCCCTCATACGGTGAGTTTTGACTTATCATGCATGCATATGCGCAGGAATTTGTTTATAGTCAGGTGGACCTTTGATACGCCCATCTCACATCACTATTTCCTCGTTTGCCACGTTCTGAGGATAAGACTGGGTCAGGGAGACCGGAGTTGAACGGGGGCACATTGACTGACAAAACAAAATGGCTCATCTACATAAGTGAAGAAGAAGAGTCGAGCACCGGGACACTTTGTTTACTGTCCTGAATTTTCAGACTCGTGCAGGAGTCCATCGTCAGAGGTAATATCAGCAACAGAGCAAGCGCATGCGCATGCGCAGTAGGGTCATGCAAATTAAAGACCGGTTAAGGCCTGAAGAGCAATCTGGAGTAGTGTACCGCATCCCGTGTCAAAACTGTCCTTGTAACTACACAGGCTAGACTGGACGCATGCTCGGATCGCGCATACAGGAACATAAGCTGGCTGTGCGACGAGGCGACGCATTATCACAAGTGGCCGCCCACACCTACGAAATGGTTCACGATTTTAACTTCGCAGCCACCAAAATAGTGCCCGCGCCGGAAACAAAATAGGTCGAGAACTGATTGAAGCCTGGGCCTCGGATGAGAAATCGGTCAGTCGATTTATCGATCTGGCGCCGGTGTACAGAGCCCTGCATAGTCACCTCCAGTCGTGCGACGTCGGTTGATGATTTGCCTACATGCCTTATAATTGTCGCTTGTTCTGTTGATGCTACTACTACCTCTGACGATGGACTCCTGTACGAGTCTGAAAGCTCAGGACAATAAACAAAGTGTTCCGGTGCTCGACTCTTCTTCATCACTTATGCATACACCTGGAACTCGAATTTTCACCTTCATTCGTGACTCATCTACGTGTGCCACACACACCATGGTCCTTAATTCCACATAGCAGGCCTCAGAAAATGGTACCATAAGGTTTACATTAGGAAGGAGTCACTAGAGTCTGGCTCTCATTCCTAGGGTGGGCCTAGCTATCTGGTTAGCCGACGACCTTTCGAGCTACAACAGACAATTCGTCGTGATAGTTTTGAGGCGTGTTCGATCATTCATGATGGGGAAGTTGAATTGGCTTCACCTTTTCCTCTCTGCCGTGTTCCAGCAACCTGTCCGAGCCATTCGTTCGACCAGTTATGAGACTGGGCGCGGTGACTGAAGTGGTGTGCGGTCGCCGCCTAACGTTTGTCATACACAGGCGCATCCCGAATCGTGCATGTTATGAAACAGTGTGGTTCCCGTTTCTGTCCATCTGAAACAGAAACATGTGCACTCTTACACGCACCGCGCGGATAGTCCACAAATGAGGTCTATTAGACGGGTCCCGAGGGGGCTTTATCGAACCCACAGTTCGACTCTTCATCGTCACATGTTTCTCGCTGCTGCTACTGCTGCCGGAGTTGTGAAAGTATGCTCTCTTCGAGAAGTGGACGATAAAGGACAGTCGGTATGGTGCGGACTTGGCTGAAACTTCTCTTCTCATCCTTAATCACTGCTGCATAGCATAATGCGCGGCGTGCTCTGCACGGTCTGTTTTGTGTTTGATTAAATGCCGACTGTATCTACTTCGCATATTTTAATTGAGATATAAATTTCCAAGTTAGAATTGAGTTCAGTGAAACATAGCAAATTTAATGTACGCTTTATTTTTCTGTGACTCCAAGTTCGTTTTTACAAAAAAACTAGTCGAGGAACTTCTTGCAAGCTCGATTCACCCGTATATTTTCCTGTATTAAGGTTACATCTTTCCACTACATGATTAACACTTCTTGCGAAAAAGTGTCATCCTATACTTCTTGGTAAAGCTACAGCATTAGGAACCTTTACAGTATAACTGACGCACATGCAGGACCTGGTACCTAACAGATGTCTCCTTTGATCGCTGATAAATGTTCACCTTTGTGATTTGAATGAGCGTCATAGTGTAACAATCCAAAAATTGATGCCACACGTCAAAGACTAATTCGCGTAAATAACTGGATCTGCTGGAATTTCTGTAGCTGTTCATGTGGTAAAGAGACTCACCATAATTGGTGACATTTTGACCGTCGCAGACAACGAGGGTCACCACTTCCCCTCCCATCCCTCCCCCCTCCCCCACGAGAGGGGTTCATCGGTGACTTGTGCGCGAACGTGTTCATAGAGGAAGAACAATTTCACCGCACCTCCCTCACTCACTCACTCCCTCACAAGACTGTCAGGTCGACCATCTACGCGTGCCACACGTGATCTGGTCCCCACTCCACATGTACTAGGTTTCATTTATGGAAGAGGGTCTTGGATCTCACATAAATGAGAAGGACATGAAAGCTACATTAGGTGGCCAGCATAATTTAACCCACAGGTAGGAGTTGCACTGGGCCATGAGCCCGTTGCCCTGTCGTTTTCGATCGGTAGCATCATTCTGCCTATATCATGCGTCGCTGTGCGGCCGCTGGTTGGACCCGAGAGAGAGGGCCCGTAAGGCACAACGGAACGAGTGAGTTCCGTAAGAGCGATCGGTGAGTGCCCCTCTACCATTGTATATTCCCGATCGAAGCCGACAGGGCATCGGTCTCGTGGCCCAGTGGTTATAGGCGTGGACTTCTAACTAACAGGTCGCCAGTTCGCGCCTCGGGTGCTCCACACTTCGGGGTTGAGTATGACTGACTGACGACGACTAATAAGCCAGAAATGACAATTTTAGTCTCCCTTGTCTTTGTCGGTAATAACATACTGTCCTATCCCTCACTGTAAACTAATTTACGCACAAGTCACCTGTACTGCGCCCATATCGCGGGGCACTCGTGGGGTATGTCGTCGCTCGCGACAACCAAACTCCCTCACTGTCTCATCTAATGACTCTCTCGGTAGTTTTTCGCGTTTGGATCAGGCCTATGTGACCTATCCTTTTTGCCGCTAGTTTTTACAGGAGCGGTAGTAGCGGCTTTTACGAATGCAGATTTAGCTGACTGTCTGGCAAAAATTTGTCGGGACACCAGCGGATGGCTTCCTATCTTAACGATTAGAGGACAGGTAGCGGCGGCCCGTTGTGTAGTTCTGATTGCCAGGACTTCATAACTCCAGTCCAGCGACTTTCTGTACGTCAGATTCGTAGACTTTGAGGGCGGCCTCCAGGCGTTCCACACCGACGGCTTCCCCAGTCCAATTCTTCTGACGGTCTTCAGGGAGAGTGGTCGAACCATTCTAATTGCGAGCATAAAGTGATCACCATGGCACCCTTCGCTCAGAGAGGTGCTTGGAGGGGTCCGACATGCAAATGCTTACCGGAATTCGGAGGTGCTAGTGGTTGAACGCTGCAGTATTTTACAGACATTCTGCCCACAGGGCTGGCAGTTTGCGGTTTCGAGAGAGAGAGTCTGCTTTATAGAGATTCTGATTGAAGACTGCGGCGTAGTTTGAGGAGACAGCCGGAGCACAGTTTTTAGGGTCAGATACTTCATGTTCGCAGCGACCCTCGAGAATCGACTGTTCAAGGTAATCGAGAGCTTCTACCAGCTGGATGCGTTCATCACTGACCCGGATTTTTGGCTGGGTAGGAGATACCGCGAATAATCTTGATATTTGAAGTTCTTCACTGTACCATGCTATCTCTTCCTTTGACGATTGACGTAATTGAATAGCGCAAAGGGTGGCTCAGCTAGAAGGAATTGTTAATTCAGGGAGCTCCAGAAGCGACCCAGTTGACTCACCTTCCGTAGTTGGAGACGGCGGCTTCTTCTGCACAAATTATGTAACAGTGTGCGCCCCAATCAGAATGATAGGTCTCGCAGTGGGGCTCATCGACACCCGAGAGGTCGATGCGAAGGTGATTTTTGAGTTGAAATGAAAGAACGCCACCGGCCGCGGAAAGTAGTAGCGCTGTTCTGTGTAAGCTCGTGCAAGTTCACCGATATAGCCTCAGCCGGCGTGGAAGTCAAAGGTTCCCTCCGTCGACGAAAGCGCATAATTTGGCCGCTACGCCTGAGCCCCGATAATTGCAGTGGACAATTTTGCGTACTTTTGGTACAATAAGCACACCATCACCTTGGATTTGGACAGCGTTTCGCGGCCGGGACGTTTGTTCGAGTAAGTTGTGCCAATGAGTCTAGGCAGTCCATCCATCCTGTTTGGGCGTTCAACATTTTTTCAATTTACGACTGTCATTCTGCAT